CAAGAGGCGTGCCAGCTCGGGACCCGTGAAGTAGTACTTGCAAGGGAGAAAACGGGCGTACTTACTCAACCGGTCCACAACCGTGAGGATGTCGTTGTGCCAGAGTCGGTCGCAAGGGAACGGACCGGTGACGTCCATGACAATGGAGAGACCGGGTTCCTGTGGGATAGGCATCGAGGGTAACTCACCATAGGGATTGCGGTTGCGGGGCTTGCTGCATCGGCAAACCTCGCAAGAGACGCAATATCGAGTGACATCGGTAATGAGGTCGGGCCATCGGAATCGTTGTCGAAGCTGTGCAATAGTGCGGTTGACTCCGAAATGGCCAGCGAGTCGCGAGTCATGGTACTCCCCGAGAAGGTGAGTCCGAAGACGACGGTCTCGTGGGACACATAACAAGTCCTTGCCTCTCGAGTGGAGGAGCAAGTACCCGTCGGCAATGCGATAGTGGCTGGCCGGCGGGTGATCCGAAGATAGCTGCGCGTACAATGTGCGACGTCCGGATCAGACTCATATCCCCGGATGAAGTGTTGCTGAAGCTCCTCGTCGAATACGAAGGCATGATGTGTCATAGCGCAAAGATCAGGTCTTTGCGAGAGTGCATCTGTTGCGCGATTGGAGAGGCAGGGAAGATGTTTCGATGTGAAGTCAAATTGGTCGATGAAGTACATCCATCGTCCGATCGTGCTGCTCATCGTATCTTGCATCTTGTAGTAGGTCAATGAGTTGTTGTCCATGACCTATGTGAACCTACGACGCCCAAAGAGGAATTGCCAACATCGCTTGGAAGCCATCACGAATGGGAGCAGCTCCTTCTTCCTTGCATCATCAAGCGAGTTGATGGGAGACAGTTTGTGGTTGAAATACTCCACAGGGTGCCCGTTGTTGCCGTCGTGTTGTTCCAAGACTGCCCCAATGCCATAGCTGGAAGCGTCAGTTGTCACTCTCGTAGACACGATGAGGTCATAGATGCTAAAGACGGGTGCCATGAGCATGGCCGTCTTGAGTGCTTGGAATGACCGTCGTGCGTCGTCATCGAATACGAATGGCACCTTTGGCGATTGTAATCTCGTTAAAGGTGCAGCAATCCTTGAGTATCCGGTGATGAATCGCTGATAGTAGCCCGCTAATCCCATGAATGAACGAACGTTCGTGGTGTCTGTGGGCTCGGGCCATACTCGTAGGGCCTCGATCTTGTCCGTGAGCGGACGGATGCCTTGCGGCGTCACATAATGTCCCAAGTACTCCAGCTCCTAATTCGCATTTGTCGCGGTTGGCTTTGTACTTGGCTTGTCGTAGCCGCTCCAAAACGGTGCCCCGGTGCTCCGCATGCTCGTCCAAACTCCGACTGTACACCAAAATGTCATCGAGGTAGATAAGTACAAAACGATCCTGCATATGTGGGAACTCCGTTGTCATAGCCGCTTGGAAAGTGGTTGGGGCATTCGTAAGGCCAAATGGCATAACTAGTCATTCGAAATGCGCATATCGCGTCTTTAACACGGTCTTGTAAAGGTCCTCCTGCCGGATCTCGAGTTGGTGATATCTTGACTTGAGGTCTAGCTTGGAGAAGAACTTGGTGCCGCCAAGTCGTTTTAGAAAGTCGTCGATGCGTGGAAGAGGGCCAACGTTTCTGATCGCTTGCGTGTTGAGCTTGCGATAATCGATGCACTTTCGGACGAAGAGAACAGGCGCACCGTATGGCAATGAGCTTGACCAAATCCAGCCTTTCTCCAAAAGGTCGTCGAGTTGTGTCCGAAGCACACTTAACTCTTCCTCGCTCATTCGGTAGATGCAACCGCGCGGAGGTACGGCCCCGTCCTCGAGGATGATCTTGTGGCGGATGGGCCGATCCGGTACTACTCCGTACGGGCCTTCGAACACGTCGCCGTAGGTGTCGAGAAGCTCGGTGATGCGTGGGTCCGAAGATGAGTCCGTCGATGAAGCGTCATGGGGCGGGAGGGCATGNCCTTCGAACACGTCGCCGTAGGTGTCGAGAAGCTCGGTGATGCGTGGGTCCGAAGATGAGTCCGTCGATGAAGCGTCATGGGGCGGGAGGGCATGGAGTAAACACAACCCCATCTCSTCSATGTCGTCTYTGATGATGGAAGCTCGCATGCTTTYGGCGGACACCACGTGGCAGCTGATMGAAGGATGARGAAGAGGCACCGTGCATGGGACTAGTACTCCGTAYSGATCACGAATGYSAACGGTGCRGTGGTWGAAGTTCACCKKGTAATCCTCGCTTYGCAGCCATGACATGCCCAAGATCATGTCGAATTYKGTGTCCAATATATCAAAGGACACCGCCTCGCTCGCAGGCGGGGCAAAGTACAYGGRGACGGCATCAATGCACCGGTCGATTGACTTGTGCGTGTGACCGTATGCCAACGTGACTTGAGTAGGCTGGGACTTCTTTCGGACGCGTGGGCCACGGCCGGCGAGTACCATGAAGTCTTGACTCATGTARTTGMRAGATGCTCCGCAATCAATCAAAGCGCTGCAGGTCGCCTCTCGGATCTGAATGCGTATCTACAACAATGGTGCGTCGATATCGTCGTACCGTTGTGTCTTGAACTTGCGGTCGATCTTTGCAATGTAGGCGTGAAGGTCGACAACCTCTACTCTGGCGTCCATCAACGGAGTTGGTACTGCAGTGTGCAAGTAATCCCGCAATTGTGCCATGAGCACGTTGCAATGCRGTTTCGGCAATCGACCAGTCGGGGRAACGGGCATCCACTGGAAGTCCGTGAACGTCAACGGGTYGAGCTCTTTAAGTCTTGACTATGACGTCGACTCCCCGACGATAGATGACGGCGAAGCTGCTGAATCGGTTGTCGACGATGATAAAAGCGTGCATGCKGTAGATTGTTGCACGTGGAGCGGTTGGTCCAACAGTGGGRCCAAGTGGACARCATAGTCCTCGTAAGTGTACCGAGAAMTCACGACATTYGCATCCTCCCCAGATGTGTAGGAGGCCGCTAGCAAGGCGGCYGAATCTGGCAGGGTGAGAGGTGGAGTCGTCTCACCTCCCGCGCAACTCAGTTTYCCGAGTTRATACGAGGCCGAACATACTCCTTGGCCTGATCCTGGCACAGGGAGGTCTTGTGCTTGGTGCTATTGCACCAATAGCAGCAGCCGTAGTGACGGCGGTACTTGTACTCGGCCTCGGTCTAGTGAAACTTGACCCATGGTGCTGGCTGTCCGTTTCCGATCGACGATGATGCGGTTTTCGCCTTCTCGTTTCCTCGGGACTTGTTGTTGCTTCGCGGTTGGACAACAGCCACCTGATCTCCCTCACGTGACGCTCGGGTGGCTGCCTGGTCTTCCACATTGTCCGAACGGACTGCAGTGACATGCTGCAGTCGCGGACCAGTTTTTACCTTCTCCACATAGGTTGGCTGCCACGTTGACTTCTAGTGTGCATCCACCCTGTTGGTCTTGATAATCTCTCTCGCCTTGTCAATGATCTCAGCGAAAGTTGCATATTGCTCGCGATCACCAAGTGCTTGGCTCAATGGAGCGCATGACCTGTTGTAGAACTCACGGCGCAGATGCRAAAATGGTAAGTCCAGCTCGGGCGTTGCCGCGATCTTCTGTWATTCCGTGAACCAGTCACGTGCTGCTGTGTTGCCTTGAGTCATGGCAAAGAGACGGTTGATGGCGAGTGCTGGTGCGTCGTTTACGATGAAGCGCTTCTTCCACTKCCGTGTTAACTCTTCCCATGTGATCTTGTCTCTCATATCTGCGACGTCGACATCGTATGTGGCTGCCAGGTGGGTTGACCGGATCGGGGATCCGCCCTTTGAGTTAAGAAACAGGGCGCCGATGTACGCGTGCTTGGCGACTAACAGAATCCGAAGTTGCGTCGTGAAACCTTCTCAACAGAGGACCAGGTCCTAATGCGTGTAATCATCGAACTTCTCAATTTGGAAAGTTGGCATCTTGTAATGATTTGTGCTGTTGCCATCGGTGTTAGTCAACTGCAGTTGCTGGACCTTGGTCTTCAAGGTATCCAGCTGATTGCTGATGGTGGTCGGCGCAGCGAAGGTGCTGATGTCGCCGAGCATTGCGACTACGTGGTCGACGCGTTCCTCCAGTTGGCGGTTAGAGGGTGCATTGCTGGACACACCAGCATCTGGTCCTGGTGCAGCTTGCTCCAAGTCCAGTACACGAGAATTGAGTGCCCGTGTAGCATCCTCGTAGCTCTGCATTATCCAGCGGAGGTTCACCAACCCCAGGTGCTATTTCTTCAGATCTTGGCACTGATGCTGCAGTTCCTGGTTCTGTCTCTCTAACTCGGACCGTTGGTAGTTGCAAGTGTATACCAACCGTGTCACGAGTTTAGAGAGGAACTCCTTGTGCTGCTCTTTCGGTGTTGCGTCCTCGTGGTCGTCAGATGGTTCAAAATGCYAGAACTTGAGTCTTTCGATGATGGTGGCTTCATGCCGCTGCAACAGAACTGGGCCTCCTTGCGGCATACCTGGGTAACTGCGTCTGCTTCGGCCATTAGCCGTTGCTTCTCAGCTGTTGCCGCTGCTTCAGCCTGTAGGCGGGCAGCCTCGGCTGCCAGTTGGCATCGTTCCTCAGCCTCGATTAATGCGAGCTGAGTCTGGAACTGCTGTTTGTAGTCAGCAAGAGACTCCTTGGCCAGTTGGCCTGCCATGCCCAGAGATGGGCCCGACATGTTGCTGACGTGGCACTGTCACTGTCGTGGCACTGCTAACGTGGCACAGTGGCAGACGTGGCACTGCTGACGTGGGCGCTAGTAGCTGGTAGTTGTAGTGCGGGAGAGAGATGGCTGGCGGAGGCCAGCGGAACTTACCTGTGGCGCCATAGCTCCAGCTCCATCTTCGAGGTACCTGCATCAAGGCGTCATGTTCACAGGTTAGTACTGGGCACACACAGAGAGAGAGAGTTGTGATTTGAGACTTGACGACATTGGATCTAGACTTGACATTGGGATTCAGACACTGAACGACGATTATTTGGGACCTGTATCACAGACTTTGGGAATCAGGTCAGAGTCCAAATCCTGCCCACGGCGCCCAGATGGCACACAGGTAAGCCGTTGAAGCTACTGTGCGGAGGTAAACCACTGAAGAAATTACGGATGGACCCCGAGGACCGTGAATGGAAGCAGGTGGGTCCAAAAACGGTTACCTCGGTAAACTGCTTCTTACACTCCGACCCTGGCCTCCTGGATGCTCAAAATTTACATAGAATGTGAGGAACAGATCTGGGGCAAGCTTCAAGGACTCCTGAATATGGCGGATAAGCCRAAGCCTAGCCATTTACATGCCATACGGGAACAGATCCAGCTTTTGCCATCACGAAAACATGCGGGTTTCCTGTGGATGGTTTCCCGTGGGATTGTACCCATAGCTACCTGGCTGGCAAAAAGGTAGATGGAAGTGGACACACAGTGCACGCAGTGCCGAAGGGCGGAAAAAATACTGCGCCACCTTCTCTTCGATTGTCCCGCGGCACAGAATCTCTGGTTATGGTGGAGGCAACATTGGAAGAAAATAACAGACAATGTTATGGAGTGGAGCGACGAATGGATTTTGACAGGCCGGTTGCCAGCGAATCTCAGAACTTGAAYGGGTTGGGGATATGTAGCACAGGTGGCAAGGGCTATCCTGTTGAGGGTATTTTGGTTGGCCACAAATGCAAATGTTTTTAAAAATGAAGATACCTCGAGAGATCAGATGCAGARGGAGGTGCGCAATCAACTAAGAGTAGCGGTAGTGGTGGATTGGGCTCGAAGAGTTAAGAACAAGAAACCAGGTAAGAAGAGATATCAGTGGTTTCTTACTACATGGGGTTTGAGGAATCAGCTTGCAGCAGTCAACAAAAAAGAGCATCTGGTCTTGGGCCCATGGCTTCTACATGCTCACACAACCTGAACACTCGGTTGCTTAATGGGTCCGCAGTGCAAGAGGCGTGCCAGCTCGGGACCCGTGAAGTAGTACTTGCAAGGGAGAAAACGGGCGTACTTACTCAACCGGTCCACAACCGTGAGGATGTCGTNCAAGAGGCGTGCCAGCTCGGGACCCGTGAAGTAGTACTTGCAAGGGAGAAAACGGGCGTACTTACTCAACCGGTCCACAACCGTGAGGATGTCGTCGTGCCCAAGCTGGTCGCGAGGGAACAGATCGGTGACGTCCATGGCAATGGAGAGACCGGGTTCCTGTGGGATAGGCATCGAGGGTAATTCGCCATAGGGATTGCGGTTGCGGGGCTTGCTGTGTCGGCAAACCTCGCAAGAGACGCAATACCGAGTGACATTGGTAATGAGGTCGACCATCGGAATCGTTGTCGACGCCGTGCAATAGTGTGGTTGACTGCGAAATGGCCAGCGAGTTGCAAGTCATGGTACTCCCCGAGAAGGTGAGTCCGAAGATGACGGTCTCGTGGGACACATAACAAGTCCTTGCCTCTCGAGTGGAGGAGCAAGTACCCGTCAGCAATGCGATAGTGGCTGGCCGGCGGGTGATCCGAAGATAGCTGCGCGTACAACGTAGCGACGTCCGGATCAGACTCATATCCCCGGATGAAGTGTCGCTGAAGCTCCATGTCGAATGCGAAGGCATGATGTGTCATAGCGCAAAGATCAGGTCTTTGCGAGAGTGCATCTGTTGCGCGATTGGAGAGGCCGGGAAGATGTTTCGGTGTGAAGTCAAATTGGTCGATGAAGTATATCCATCGTCCGATCGTGCTGCTCACCGTATCCTGCGTCTTATAGTAGGTCAATGAGTTGTTGTCCGTGACCTATGTGAACCTACGACGCCCAAGGAGGAAGTGCCAACATCGCTTGAAAGCCATCACGAACGCGAGCAGCTCCTTCTTCCTTGCATCATCAAGCGAGTTGATGGGAGACACTTTGTGGTTGAAATACTTTACAGGGTGCCAGTTGTCGCCGTCGTGTTGTTCCAAGACTGCCCCAATGCCATAGCTGGAAGCGTCAGTTGTCACTCTCGTAGGCACGATGAGGTCATAGATGCTAGGGACGGGTGCCATGAGCATGGCCGTCTTGAGTGCTTGGAATGACCGGCGTGCATCGTCATCGAATACGAATGGCACCTTTGGCGATTGTAATCTCGTCAAAGGTGTAGCAATCCTTGAGTATCCGGTGATGAATCGCTGATAGTAGCCCGCCAATCCCATGAATGAACGAACATTCGTGGTGTCGGTGGGTTTGGGCCATATTCGTAGGGCCTCGATCTTGTCCGCGAGCGGACGGATGCCTTGCGGCGTCACATAATGTCCCAAGTACTCCAGCTCCTACTGCGCAAATTCGCATTTGTCGCGGTTGGCTTTGTACTTGGCTTGTCGTAGCCGCTCCAAAACGGTGCGCAGGTGCTCCGCATGCTCATCCAAACTCTGACTGTACACCAAAATGTCATCGAGGTAGATAAGTACAAAACGATCCTGCATGTGTCGGAACTCCGTTGTCATAGCCGCTTGGAAAGTGGTTGGGGCATTCGTAAGGCCAAATAGCATAACCAGTCATTCGAAATGCGCATATCGCGTTTTAAACGCGGTCTTGTAACGGTCCTCCTGCCGGATCTCGAGTTGGTGATATCCCAACTTGAGGTCTAGCTTGGAGAAGAACTTGGTGCCGCCAAGTCGTTCTAGAAGGTCGTCGATGCATGGAAGAGGGCCTACGTTTTTGATCGTTTGCGTGTTGAGCTTGCGATAATCGATGCACTCCCGGACGAAGAGAACAGGCGCACCGTATGGCGATGAGCTTGACCAAATCCAGCCTTCCTCCAAAAGGTCGTCGAGTTGTGCCCAAAGTACACTTAACTCTTCCTCGCTCATTCGGAAGATGCAACTGCGCGGAGGTACGGCTCCGTCCTCGAGGATGATCTCGTGGTGGATGGGCCCATCCGGTGCTACTCTGTGCGGGTCTTCGAACATGTTGCCGTAGGTGTCGAGAAACTCGGTGATGCGTGGGTCCGAAGATGAGTCCGTCGATGAAGCGTTATGGGGCGGGAGGGCGTGGAGAAAAGACACACTCATCTCCTCGATGTCGTCTCTGATAATGGAAGTTCGCATGCTTGCTGCAGACACCACGTGGCAGCAGATCGAAGGATGAGGAAGAGGCACCGTGCATGGGACTAGTACTCCGTACGGATCACGAATATGAATGGTGCGGTGGTAGAAGTTCACCGGGTAATCCTCGCTTCGCAGCCATGACATGCCCAAGATCATGTCGAATTTGGTGTCTAATATATCAAAGGACACCGCCTCGCTCGCAGGCGGGGCAAAGTACACGGGGACAGCATCAATGCACCGGTCGATTGACTTGTGCGTGTGACCGTATGCCAACGTGACTTGAATAGGCAGGGAATTCCTCCGGACGCGTGGGCCAAGGCCGGCGCGTACCATGAAGTCCTGACTCATGTAGTTGCGAGATGCTCCGCAATCGATCAAAGCGGTGCAGGTCGCCTCTCGGATCTGAATGCGTACATACAACAATGGTGCGTCGATGTCCTCGTACCGTTGTGTCTTGAACTCGCGGTCGATCTTCACAATGTAGGCGTGAAGGTCGATAACCTCTACTCTGGTGTCCATCAACGGAGTTGGTACTGCAGTGTGCAAGTTATCCCGCAATGGTGCCATGAGCACGTTGCAATGTGGTTTCGTTAATCCACCGGTCGGGGGAACGGGCATCCACTGGAAGTCCGTGAACGTCAACAGGTCGAGCTCTTCAAGTCTTGACCATGACGTCGAATCCTCGGCGATAGATGACGGCGAAGCTTCCAAATCGGTTGTCGATGGTGATGAAACCGTGCATGCGGTAGATTGTTGCATGTGGAGCGGTTGGTCCAACGGTAGGACCAAGTGGACAGCATAGTCCTCGTAAGTGTACCGAGAACTCACGACATTCGCATCCTCCCCAGATGTGTAGGAGGTCGCTAGCAAGGCGGTCGAATCTGGCGGAGTGAGAGGTGGAGTCGTCTCACCTCCCGCGCAACTCAGTTTCCCGAGTTGATACGAGGCCGAACATACTCCTTGGTCTGATACTGGCACAGGGAGGTCTTGTGCTTGGTGCTGTTGCACCAATAGCAGCAGCCGTAGCGACCGCGGTACTTGTACTTGGCCTCGGTCAAGTGAAACTTGACCCATGGTGCTGGCTGTCCGTTTCCGACTGGCGATGCGGTTTTCGCCTACCCGTTTCCTTGGGACTTGTTGTTGCTTCGCGGCTGGACAACAGCCACCTGATCTTGACAGGCCGGTTGCCAGCAAATCTCAGAACTCGAATAGGTTGGGGATATGTAGCACAGGTGGCAAGGGCTATCCTATTGAGGGTATTGTGGTTGGCAAGAAATGCAAAGGTTTTTAAAAATATAGATACCTCGAGAGATCAGATGCAGAGGAAGGTGCGCAGTCAACTAAGAGTAGCAGTAGTGGTGGATTGGGCTCGAAGAGTTAAGAACAAGAAACCGGGTAAGAAGAGATATCGGTGGTTTCTGACTACATGGGGTTTGAGGGATCAGCTGGCAGCAGTCAACAAACAGGAGCATCTGGTCCTGGGCCCATGGCTTCTACATGCTCACACAACCTGAACACTCGGTTGCTTAGTGGGTCCGCAGTAGGACGGCAACTTGGTGGTAACTAAGACGGTGGAGGGAGCGTCCTAAGGGTGGGGAGTTTGTCGAATCAGATCAAGGTTCGGATCACGCTAGGGCCTCATCTTACTAGCGCTTTTAGCCAGGTTGTAGGGTGGTAACTTTGGGGAGGTATTCTGGGGTTTGGTTCTGCCTTTTTTTTTTTTTTTTTTCAGGATTAGACAGGGGTAGTAATTATAGGTATAGGTGTTTTCTTTGTTTCTGCTCTTGTCTTGGTTTATTACAGTTAGTAGGATGAGAAGGGTTTCTAGTTCCCTGATCATGCGCAGGCTGAAAGAGAATAGGCCTTTTTTGGGCATTGAACATCGCCCGAGTTATAGCCATACCATCTACATTCTTTGCACCAAGGTGTGTCTACGCAGACATCGATAGGACAGGCATCAGGAATGGGTCGTTCTTCTGGACCCCCTCCGCTTGATGTCGGATTGGGTAAATCAAAGACAGGTCGCCCCTTCGACGCTGGGAGGGCTTCGACGAGTGGGGGTGCAATCTCGACTCCCCCTTTGCCTGCGGTCGGGGTGGCTGGGTCTACAGGCCTGCCCCCACCTACGTGCTACCCTCAACCCGCCTGCTGTGAATATGCCCCCCCTTTTGCCCGCGGTCGGGGTGGCTGGGTCTACTGGCCTGCCCCCACCTGCGTTGATGGTTGGTGCTAACCTCAACCCACCGGCTCAAGATGTGCCTCTGTCGCAACAAAATGCGATGACGTTGCAGGATACAACCGCATCTGTGCTTGTCCATACCCTTGATAAACATACTGATGATGATGCTTGTTTAGTTCCTTCCTCTTTTGTCTCATATGAAGGACCTGAAGTGGTCATGCGACCTCAAAAAGATTCTCCACTTCTGCAGAGAAGGAAGGGACTTGCGACCGGAACTAGAATACAACCCCTCGCACAATATGCAAGACCTGCCCAAGCTATTGCTGTTGACATTCCGACGACTGACACAGATAAACGCGTTTCGTGGGTTGATATGGTAGAACAGGAACAATTGGACTTGCTTTATCATGACGACATGGTAGCTGATACAGACCATGTCGACTGCCGACAACATTATACGAGCCCTGGACTGGCAGTGCGTGCATCGACCTTTCCTGGATCTCTTTTGGAAGCCATGGCTGTTGGCCAGCCAGCGGTGGTTGTTCCTCTGGTCTTTTTAGCTATTGATGAGAACTTGCATTTGGTCACAGTTGTTTCGCAGCAAGGACAACTCACTATACCCCATTTTGAACTTCATGAAGAGCCGTTTCATGACTTGGTTATGACAAAAGTTACGAAATGGGTTGTCCCTGCGTATCGTATTAGATCTTACCGCCAACGAATGCATAGGGCCGAACATATATTCTTTATTTTTTTTCGATAATTGATGCTATAGCTAATCGTGCTGCGACTACTGTGGCTCCCCTCTCTGGGATCCGATGGACCTCGCTCCAACTTTTCAAAAATCCGACTGGTCAAACGGCTACGGACACCAAGGTGTATGATTGCTGGTCGGGAGCTATCCTTACACAGGTTGATGCACATATCCTTTGGCACAGAGGCTTGTTCTCCAATCAATTCCTCCTGCTCAAATGTCAGGATTGGCAACCGTAAACACTCTGAATGGATAAGCTATATATACTGTCATGGAACGTTCGAGGACTGGGTTCCAGCAGAGTTGCAGTTAAGAGAACGTTGATCAAAACTTTGGTTAGGAATAAAGGAGCACAAATCATTGTGCTACAAGGGACTAAATTGGATACTGCGGCGATTAAAGAGCAAATGGGCTGGTGGTTGGGACCCCAATTCTGGGCGCCAGCCTAAGGAACCCGAGGGGGTGTCGCAATACTCGTTGCACGGACTGCTCCGCTTGTTGTGACCGATTTCAGGTCTGATCATAATGGAAGATGGGTTTGGGTTCGCTTTAACATGTGCCAACAACAATGGGCTGTCCTTAACCTGTATGCTCCTAGAACCATGGCTGATAGGGTTGACCTTTTCAGATCCCTCCCCTGGCTCGTGCCAAAAAGTTGAAAATGTTATCCTGGGGGAGATTGGAATACTGCGCTTGTGACCGGAATGGATTCTCTAAGAGCAGATCTTGTTACAACAGACGCTGTTCAACTTTCTAATTTTTGTATGACCAATGGGTTTTCCGATGTTTTTCGTTTATTGCATCTTTTTGATAAGGGATATACTTTTTTCGCCTCTGGGGCATATGCCCAGCAGTATATCCCACGTAGCCGTATAGACTTGTTTCTAGCATCGGATTCAATTTATTATAAAATTTCATGTTGTTCTGTGGTTTCAATTTTGGGATCGGATCATTTGCCTCTTTTTTTGGAAATTTTCCTCCACTCTTCAGTTCGAATGGGTGCTGACCGGGTGATGCTACCTGAGTGGGTTGTCAAGACCGAAGACTTTAGACGGTTTATGCTTCGATTTTGGGTGCAGTGGCGCACTTCACAACCGCTTTTCCCCTCATTGTCTGATTGGTTTTAAGGCGGGTTGAGAGTTATTCTCAAAAGAGGACAACTCATAAGAAAGCTTATAGTTGCCAATTCCCGTACTCAGTTGACAGTAATTAACGATCGAATGGCTGAACTTATGCGTACAGCGGCGATGGTAGGAGTTGATCAGGCGCGATTGATGACAGATATGGATCAACTGAGATAACAATGGACTATGAATGTGCAACCGACAGTGAGAATAGCGTGGCTCGTGAAAGGGGACCGAATGACAGCCCCCTTTTTTGAGAGGCGTCGCCCCCCTGTGAAGCCAGGAATGATTCTTGCCRTGAGGCACCCGTTCCGGGATGCACAACCTCTCGCAATCGATACACCGTCCATTATTCGTAATGTGTCGTTGTTCTACGAAAGTCTACTGGCTTCGCAGGCTCAACACACTGAGGATAGTTTGCTTCACCAATTTCATGAGCCCGTCTGGTCTAAGTTAAACAGGAAACTGTCGCACCGACAGTCTGCGCTGTTGGAAAGCGATGTGACCCATCAGGAGATTCTTGATGCAGTCAAATCATTGGTTGATCACAAAACGTCCGGTATTGACGGACTGCCTTTCCTCCTCTTTAAGAGGTTTTCCCCTCTCCTTATGCCTGAGTTGTTCCTCCCCACCACCGCCTCCCTACAGACCCATAATTAATTAATGTGCCTCCATCARGGCGGGCGTCAGAAGAAACATGAATAATGAAGCTGCCAGTCRCCATCCTAAACAGCCCAGCCGCATTCTCGAAACCACCACCAGGCAGCGAACATGAGGACACTTTGTCTATACACCCGCTCCCTCTCCCTCGCCACCCCCCCCTCTCTCATTCTGTTGTACAGAACTCGATCGACGACATGTGCGGTCACTTAGAACTGAAAAGATGTGCGGTCACTCAGGACTGAAGACTGAAGAAATAAGAATCACGTGTGGGAAACCCATTTCACGAGAGAGGAGCATCAACCCTTCCCTCCAGCATCCAATCTCAAACCTCCCCTCCATTCGATCGATGTCACTCGCCAACCCATCACTTCATCGTTGCTCACCACCCCAGTACCATCTAATCCATGGCCCAGTCCATCCCTTCCACTCTCCATGTCAGCCAACCCGCCCACCGAAAATAAGAGGCGCTAAATAAATTCGCAACCCAGGAAACGTGTTCGTCGTCCCTTACAAAAGCCAGCGCAGCTGCCAGAGATTAGCACTTATATTTGAGACACAGCAAAACAGCAAAAAAAAAACGAATCAGAAGAAAAAACAATTTAGGCTTCGACAAAAGAATGTTCACTTTCCTCAGAAAAAAAAAAAAAAAAAAAAAGGGTATCTTTTCTTCTTTTTTTTGTTTTTTTTTTGTTTTTTTTTTCAGAGAGAGATCAGCATGGCCCCTTGCGCAAGGATGACACGCATAAATCGAGAAATGGTCCCCAACAAAAAGACAGAAAGCAAAGAAAAAACAACGTTTAAATTTCAGTTCGCACATCTTCACAATAAAAATTTCAGTTCGCACATCTCCACAAACATGCACACCGCTGACGTCACCACCAGTAAGTCACAAACACGTCCAAATTAGGGCGTCGAGGTGGTACAGTAGCAGCGGCAGTCACCCTCCGTGCAGCTAAAAAAAAATCAAATACTTAGGAAAAAAAAAAACAAATTCTCAAAAAAAACAATYGGGCTTCCAGAAAACAKCTTTGCGTTTCCTCAAACGCACATCTCCACAAACACCTTTTTTTTTTTTTTTTTTTTTTTTTTTTAAGAAAGAGGAGATCAGCATGGCCCCTTGCGCCTGTCTCTTATACACATCTAGATGTGTATAAGAGACAGGCATGGCCCCTTGCGCAAGAATGACACGCATAAATCGAGAAGTGGTCCCCTTTCGTGCCACGACCAGTAAAGGGAACTTGGGAGGGAAGTGGGTGGAACGTGGGGTAGTGACAGTGAGGGACCTTTGGGAAGAGCAGGGAGAAAGATGGATCACAGAAGAGGAACTCAGAAGAAAGTTGGGAGGTTTGGTTCAAGTGGGCCCAAGGAAAGAAGACTTGGTGGCAGCACTCCCAGAAGAATGGATTGAACTTCTGGCCCGAGAAGGCCCAGAAGAACGAAGGTGGTATCAATTAGCAAGGAAGG